GAATAATAACAAATATAGGTACAAAAAGGATGACATCTCTGTATAAGATTCTCTGTCCTAAGAGTCCTCATACATCTTCAGTCATTCTTTGATTTCTATTCAGTCATTTTTTTTTTATTTGAAACAGTTAATGATGCAAGAAATAAGTTGAAAAGGAAAAGAATTTATTACAGAATCATCTTACTATCTCATATGCTTAGAAAGTTATTTGTCAAAAAAAAAAGTCAAGAAATGAAGGAGGCTAGAAAGACACTGACCAATTTAAGAAATACTGTATCAAATTGATGAGTTAATCATACTAATAATATAGTTCAACAAATGCTAAAGTATTAGGAGCTAGGGAACTCTGGGTATATTTAAAGTTCTTTCATAATTCTAATTGTTTAAACTAGTATACTTATGACTAATTATCTGTGTTTCTTCTACAGTGTTCCAGCTAATATACGAAATAATAAAAGTTTTTTTTTCTTTAGTTAATCTTATCAAGGACTTGCTTAATGAGGAGATGGGCTCCGGCATCTGAAGTAGTTTTTAGTCCTTGTGGGAGATTTGCTGATGGAAGACTGGTAAGAAGTCAACTACCAGCAAGAATTACTGTTTAATGTTTTGCAGCATTGAAATTTTAAAAATAGATATATGAAGTATTAGTAATTAGTAATCTACGTCATATTTATCTGTATCATCCTTTACACTAGAGACCRTCCTCTTCAAACCAGCTTGCTTTAATTCAGTTGTTAACTGAAACAATGATTCAGAAAGGAATACTTTCTTTTTGTTTCTATTACCAGCTGAACTAACAATTCAAATAATTTATTCTGCCACTTTCATATTTAGAATGAATTAAAGGAAAGACAGAATGCCAGATTCTATTATTCCTAGGGTTTTCTCCAAGTCAGGACACAAGCCAAGAGACAAGCCCTTTTCTTCTATAAGATCTTCTATAAAGATCTTTTTCCTTGAGAAATATGTAGAATGAGTTATTCACTTTCCTGCCAAATAGGAAAGATAAGAACATATATATATATATATATATATATATGATGTTGGATCATGTTTGCCAGATCAGCTGAACATTTAATGAAAAGGAGTCAGGCCCTGATCCATCTCTCACAGAAATGACTGGAAGGCTTTCCATCAGCTCTAGTGAGAGTTGGATCTAGCCCCATCTGCATGTTTTCAGGCACAAGACCAATTTTCATTTCCTGACCTCTGTGWAATTCCGTTGAGGATGCCACTACTGCAGAGAGAGAAGAACAACTTATCAGAAGATTGCAAATATCCACCACGTTTTCAGTTAACATTCTGCACATGCAGGAACTTTACCCTATTCATTAAATATTTCTATCCACCTCTTCAGTGTCACAGTGCATTAAAAAAAGAACAAAATAGAATACTAATTGCTTCATTACAAAGTTTGCATCTGCCATGTTTGCATGAAGGTATTATCAGACACACACTTTCATGCACACATGTGTAATCCTGCTGCAAGGACAAAGATGCCTTTTCATGTACATGAATCAAGGAGATATACATCGCAAGCCTTTACATCAGAGAGTCATAGAAGGGTTTGGGTTGGAACAGACCTTAAAGATATCTCATTCCAACCCCCTGCCATGGGCAGGAACACCTTCCACTATCCCAGGCTGCTCAGAGCCCCATCCAGCCTGGCYTTTGAATACTCACAGGGATGGAGCAGCCACAGCTCCTCTGGACAACCTGAGCCAGGTTGCTCACAGGGAAGAATTTCTTCCCGATATCCCATCTAAACCTCCCCTCTGTCAGTGTAAAGTCATTCCCCCTTGTCYTGTCACCACATGTCCTTTTTAATAGGACATATCATTCCAGATTTCCCAAATCAGTCCCCTAGAACTTGTAWTTTTTTTTAAATTAATGTTGCAATTTGTAAAGACTGTCTGGTTATGTATTTGCTACTTAACCTGAGGCATTTCACACAAATGTTTCAACTCCTTTAGCTTTAAATTAATTATCTTCTGAAATAATAGAACCTTAGGGTGTTATTGTTAGAGTAACTTCACACTAATTTTTTGTGAAGTGCTCTGAGCCCTCACATTTTCTTCCCCACTCTCCAAATAACCAATAAAATATTTATTATTCAAACAGCTTGAGCTGCACAGGGTGATGGAGGCCGAAATTTTGTTTTTCTTACTCCAGTAGCAGAAATACACCAAATGGTGTTTTGTATGAAAGCTGTATTCTAGAACACAAACCCCACCGGGYAAGTAACACATTAGATGTGTCATACTTTGTCTTGCCAGGCTCATCAGACTGAATTTGGAATTTACTGCCTGGGTAGAGTGACTCATGTGTTTACTGGCCTTGACAGGTGCTGGGCATCTTCCACACTCATTAAAGTTAATGACTTGAACAGCAGAGAGGGAAAACTACATGTTAGTTTCTTCTTAACGTGTATTCCCAAGTTATCATTTAAGAGAGGATGTAAGTGGTGTCGCCTTTCTTCTGCAATCACAAAAGCAGGCCCTAACCAACCCCCTGTCCCTTCATTGCAGAAATAACCCAATTAGTTTCACAGGAACTACTTCTTGGAGTAGGTAAGAAAAAAAAATGCATCCTACACAGAGCTTTGCACATAAAAGCTGCTTCTTGCCATAAAACCAGTTACTTCCTCACTGGAACAGCGGAATTAACATACTGGAAACAAGCCAGTAATTTTATAGAAATATATGCCTTTAAGTAAGCTCTAGACCAGTATTCTCACAACASCCAGGCTTTGGCATCATTTCTATCCCAACAAGCCACAGCTGCTGAACTGGWGACTTCTGACTTCATATTAGATAAGTAATGAGACATTTTAGGCAGCAGTGTCAGAGCCTATCCTTTGATACTAACACAGCATGCTACAGTTGTTGATCAGCCACAGCAAAAGAGATATGCCTTTAATTTACACAAGTTAGCTAAAAATATTCAGGAGAAAACTTCACAGAGACTTATACCATGACATTAGACTCTCAACAAAGAGATTAAAAGATGGAGACCTCACAGACATCTGTGTATTCACACAAAAACAAAAAATTAGGAGAATTGAATCTTTAACTACAGAGACATGTCTGCTTTAATGCCTGTCCAGCCAATAGATCTGCCCTGCTAATATGACAGTGTTCTGTACCCTGGCTTCCACCCAACAAGACAAATACTGAGCCAAAGACCTCAAGGAAACCTGTGTCTTAACACTAACCTGCCACAAAATCTCCAGAGCTAATGGTCTTGCAAAAAGGTTTAAAGCTCCAAAAATAAGGCTCAAGAATTACTGCAGTCCAAAATACTCATCATGTTTAATGCTGAGCTTTTTAGGGTCTTCAAAGCAAAATATAATGGTGCATTTCCACAGATAGTTCTTTAACTGAACTGTTATGTTCAGCTGTTTTTGCCTTCTCCAGTACTCACATCAACATCTATTGCTCTTATAATTTCATAAGACACTGAGGTACAAATCTTCCAAACCCAGATTAATGTGCTGTTTGCTAGACAGAATTCTGACAGAATTAGTAATCAGAATGTTGATGGCAAACTGCTCAGTTGCTTGGAATATATTTCAGCAATTTGGGGAACACTAATTCAGGATTCAGTAATTCAGTATTTTTTCCGTCCACATTGTCACAGAAAGCAATTTGAGAAAAAAAATCAGTTTAGCCTTTTCTTTCTTGATGTCGGAAAGGAGCTCTTTCTATTTTTGTAGGAAATTGCTCCTTATTGTTCCTTATTTTCCACCTGTTCACTTACTTTTTTTTTTTTCTTCGGTTATTTTTTGGGTTTTGGAGAGTTTTTTTGCTTATTTCTTTCTTTTTGTTTTACCTTAAATTAATGTCTATTCCATAATTATTTCTGTATCTCAGGTAAGCAAGATAATTATAATATTCTACAGCATCAATGGCTTACTTGTTTCCTGCTCCCATTTCCTTTAAGTAAAAAAAAAAAAGCTGAACAGCAACTGATTTATCCAACATTTACAGTCTTTCATCCCTCACTTGGAAGGCCAGGAAAGCTGTGTAATGTGTAAGACTCTCCATAGTGCTGTGCGAGCCTCTGCTTTGGACAAGACCAAAAGCCCACTAAAATAAYTGAGAATCTTTCCATGATCTTCTGTGGAGTTTGGTTGGGCACAGCAGGTGACAGGATTACTGAAATGTAAGATTCCSTGGATACACTTTACAAGCGTAGTCAGCAGAAGAAAGGGATAATGAAGTTCTTCCACAAGCTTCAGGGCTAAATTTGTTGAACCAAACCTGAAAACCTTCCATTTGAGATACAAATTCTCAACCTGTAAGCAAATCAAACTGTTCTTTTCTACCTGGAAGCTGCACATGGGATTGGAATGTTTTGGCTTTGCTGGCACACGTGGTATGCAGGGAACAAATCATGGCTAACCAAGCCTAATGGACCAAGAATACAGAATCTGTGAATATTTAGAAAATAAACCTCAGTCAGAAATGTACAAGAGGAGATCGATTTAAAAGGGTTCGTTCAAAGAGGTTTGAAATAGCCATAAAAATCCTGAACCCACTTCAATCTGAAAATGATCTGCCAATTATTTTTCCATTTGTCTTGGGAATGCCATTAAAACTTCACACTGTGTAATGGAAACAGCACTAAAAACACCAATGTTACCTTTGCAAATGAAATAATCATAATAAAAGCTGCTTTCTTCATTGTCCAGAAAGTACTGATATTCTGAGTTATTGCTATAAGAATTATGTGCTGATTATCTTAGGAAACAGGCACATGTCTACAGATAAGATCCTGAATCACCTGTCAACCCTATTTCTATGCAAATTAATTTACTTTTACATGACCTCAAAGCCCTGCAATGGCACTGCAGCAGGGCATTTTACCACCATCAAACAACACAAAAGGCTGATTAAGAGCACTAAAAAGTGCCTTTTGCAACCTCTGAGACACAAAAATATAATCACAAYGTAACAACACAAATCCCACAGAAATTAAAAGAGCAATCTGCATCTTACCTCRTTTGAATTTTCTGTTGTGATGTTTTTCTTTTTCAGCTTTTTCTGCAGCAGTTTGGTTTCGTACTCTGGTCTGGAATGCTCCTGAAAAAAAAATCCAAAAACAAACCACCAAACATGATTATGACCAGGAGAAAAAAAAACCCTAAAAGTTCTGCTCACTTATTCACAAACAAGGTCATCAAAGCAATTCAACTCAATACATCTTTTGGACTAGGCTGTCAGATCTGGCCCAGTTTCCTTAATCAATAACCTTTCAAGGTACCCTGGCAAAATATATTTTTCTTTTYCAAATTATAACATAAATTAGGCAAGATGGCAAAAATTTACCAAGCTTTTCAAGTGTGCTGCTCATAAAAGAGACAAGTATCATGCATGTCCTCATTCCCCTCAAGTTCTGAATTCATTCAGAGCCTGGAATTTGGATTTGGTACCTCCCACAAAAAGGGCTATTCCTACAGCATTGGTCATATCATCCCTCCTTACTATAATTAGAACAATTGCCATCCAAAAAAATGAACCTGATCGCCATGAAGAGAAAAAAAAAACAAACAAAAAAACATTTTAAATACAATTATTAAATCCTCATGAGCAACAYAATGGGACATACATGGAACTTCACCAGAATTCCTTCAGGGTTACAGGTGGTATTCATTTTATGTATCTGAACATTTTCACCACATCAGTCACAACCCTCACCATTCTCTGTTGCATGTGAGAATATAAATACAGTGAGACCTCCAAACTRTTGTTTATCCTGATCATGAGATGTTCCTAATGCATTCAAAAGATATCTGATACAGTATCATTCAGTTCATGGAATCCTARAATAATTTGGGTTGGAAGGRACCTTACATCTCATTCCAGCCCTGTTGCCTTGSGGGACACCTTCCACTAGACCAGGTGTGAAGTGTAAATGTTCTTGGTCATAAAYAATGAAAAAAAGTCAGATTGTGCTGCAAACAATCAGAAAGATTTATTAATAAATTACACACTTGGCATGGAAATTAGTAYGTTAGTCCCTAAACTACTGTACAAGCACATGGCAGTGGACTTTGGATAAAGGGATAAGATGAAAATAAAGTGACAAAAGAAGAGACCAATAAGAGAAACAGATCAGCAGCCTTAGTTCCAGTGTTGATCCAGCCGATGGAGTAACGGGATATCCAGGATCCGGGGGAGGGGTGCCACCTAGGTTTGGTGYGGGTACCTTTCTATGGATGGCTGTTTCCACCCTGAAGATAAATTTCTTGCTTTCCATGAAATTAGTGGTTATTAGGTCCTCCATTCTTTCAGACCTTTTTGGAAACAGGCCAGAGGCTTTCAGAGGTCCTGGATCCATGCCCACTTCTGAGCCTCACTCCTGCACTTGTCTTTTTTTTTGTTGTGCCTCTGTGGACTTGATCAAGATGTTTGTCCCAGAAAAGTGCTTCCCTACCCTTATGTCCCCCTCCTCTAGTCACATTTTGTTCCTCCTGACATGCTGGTACCAGCAATCCTTGTGTGTTATTACCAGCAATCCTTGGCTGGCTCCATGGCTAGACACACACATTAGACACTTTTCTTCTGGGTAACTCCACCAAGTTTCTAAGAGCTCCATCCAACCCAGCCTTTAACACTTCCAGGGATGGAGCAGCCACAGCTGCTCTGTGCCAAGGCCTCACCACCCTCACAGGGAAGAATTTCTTCCTTATATCCGATCTAAACTTTCTCTCTGTCAGTGTGAAGCCATTCCCCCTTGTCCTGTCACTCCAGRCCCTTGTCAAAACTCTCCATCTTTCCTGGAGGCTCTCTTCAGGTACTACAAGGCCYCAGTGAGGTCACCCCAAAGCCTTTTCTTCCACAGGTGGAAAAAACCCCAAATCTCTCAGCCTTTCTTCATAGGAGAGGTCCTCCATCCCTCTGATCACCTTGGTGTCCCTGCTCTGGATAAAATATAGAACTCTGAGAAATAGTGAGGCACAAGTAAACTCTAACATTAATAAAGCTGACAAACAAAGCAGCAAAAATGGTGGCAAGCAGGATGAGGAAAGGWCACACAAAGTTACAACAATAATCATTTAAAGGTGCTGCACTTCACACCTGTATCTTGATAGTTTGTAATTTTTCATTGGCTTGTGTTGATTTGCATTATTTGCTACCACATTTCCTTATATAAAGTTTGGAAATTGGACATAACAAACATCTTTAGACTTAAATGAAGATTGGGCATGGGTGGCTAMATGAGAGGAGACAGCTTGATCAAAGCAGGGAAAGGAGATAAAAGAAGCTGTGAGAAACTTGGATCTAAATACACTATGCAACTGCAGAGCTGAATCAATTATCTTCCTTTTTTCTCTTACTTTTTGCTAAGTAAAACATTCTGAGACATCAGGGGCAGCCTCCAGAGGTAAGRGCAACTTTTGAAAACTCATTTGAATGAAAACAAGGTGTGAAAATAAATRCCAAGCAAAACATTGTACTCTAATTTTGCTATTGACAGTCTTGCTCTGAGTGCATCTYCCAATCAAATTTGGCCCAGTTATGTTTAGTTTTCCTAGTAAGACCTTTCAATATGCTTTAAACTGCCTTTCATACACCTGCATCTGGATTGGAAGAGTAGTTGATCTGCCTTTGCTGAATCTACCAAGTCACCTTACCCTTCACTGAACAAACCACAGAGCTCCCTGGAATAAATTTTGTATATTCCTTTTATGAGTATTTTATTTCTTTACAATCCAGACCTAGAGATGCTTGACCCATACATCCCTGGATGTGAAGGGACAACCCCACTGAGCTGTAAAAAGAGAATGATTCAGATTTAATTCTTTGTCTGAAAATGGGAAATGCTCTACACTTAGGACAATAAGTTAGAAATAGTTGTGACGACTTCGAGAAGGCCAAATGTCCATGTAGGGATAGATCTGAATCCCAGGATGCTGGAAGTTTGCCAGTACAGCTGCCAGACACTTATTGAAAACCATGTTAGCCAAGGTGCTGTGAGGCCAAATGAGTGCTCCGAGTAGAAAATGATAATTCCCATTCTGAAAACAAAGAGCCAAAACATGAAATTTCTACTCAGGCAAAACTTATGTGTGTGTCAGTGAGAATTTTCCCTGAGAATGGTCTCCAGGATTTGCCTCAAACATACACATGTGTATCCACTATCCATCAAATTAGGGCTCTGTAGATAATGATCCAGTTTGATAAGGATAATTAATGAGAACCAATCTCTCCTTAGTTTCCTTTTGATTTAGGAAGAAAGCGATAATTGAATTTTACAAAGCATGCATGACAAACATATTGAATTTATTAAAAAACAAAAACAAAACCTTAGCAACTATCCAAGGTTTGACAGACCAAAGTTATCTTCAAAAAATAAGCTATACTCTTTAAGAAAAGGGAAAGACCCGCTGCAAATTCCTTGAACAGCCTTATCCTAATATCCTGAACACAAGCTGAGCAGCTAAGCAGTGAACACTGATCTGAAGGAGGGTTTCCAGAAATTAAAAATTGGAATGACTCAGCTGCTGCCCCAAAGCAAGATGGAAACTTGAATGAGCAGAACAGAGGGCCCAGCTGTTCTCTGCTGCAAAAGGGTTAATTACTAGAAATCAAGGACTAAAAGCCTCTATTTCTTGTGATGGTGACACAGGAGGCAGGGGACAAGAAGTCTTAGGAAGAGCTTGTCATTCACACCAAGGATCTGTTTAGACTGCCCTACTAATGGGATGCTCGTCCAATGAAAAATAGTTTTATATCTCAAATGAAATCACTGGTAGGTATTCACAATCTTTTTAGTCCAGACCACTATCAAAATTATTTTGATAAATGAAAAATTAAAGCAAAAGCTTGAATAAGTAGTATAATATTAGCACAAGTTTAATGGTGTTAAATGCTACTGAACAGCCACACAGTTATTAAAGATATTCTAGAGCAACATAAAAGGGAATCAGTTAAAAGAAACTAGGAGGTTCTGTTATGGGAATATATTTGCCAGACAAAGCAATCTTATGCCCTTKTTTGCCTTCATTGAGCAAGAACAGAGGTAGTGCTTTGGGGAAGAACATATAAAATCAAACTTTGAAACATGGTGTTAGATTTTGGATCTCCACTGACTAGTAAACAAACAACCAAATGCTGCCATTTTGACATCAGATAATATATTTTGTGGGTAACTGTAGCAGAACATGGCATAATTTACATTTGTTCATTATGCAATTAAAACCTAATCCATTTCAATACTTCTCTACTGATAATTGGAATTGTGCAAATTACAGAATGGCCTGGGCTGGAAAGGACATTAAAGATCATCCAGTTCCAAGGCTCTAGCATGGGCAGGGACACCTTCCACTCTCCCAGGTTGCTCCAAGCTCGATCCAGCCTGGCCTTGAACACTTCCAGGGATGGGGCAGCCACAGCTTCTCTGGGCAACCTGTGCCAGGGCCTCACCACCCTCACAGGGAAGAATTTCTTTCMAATATCCAATCTAAACCTGCTCTCTGTCAGTGTGAAGCCATTCCCCCTTGTCCTGTCCTGTCACTCCAGGCCATTTTAAATAGCACCTGATTCCATATCTTGTGTGCTCTCCAAGGAGTACATCACTGGTAAACCCTGTTCATCTTCCTGAACCTCCTAAGTCACTGGAAAGGAGGAGAAGAACAGGGAGAGGCCTCAAGATGGGGCCTTTTCCCAGTGRGGCAGTGCTGGATAAAGACAGATTTAACCTCTCTGAACCCAGGGGAGGGATTAACTTGTGCCACCCCAAGTGACCCAGCCTTCGAACAGCCCATCCCAATACCCTGAGGAATCAAGACTACCCATAAAAAAATAAAAGAGCTTTGAGCTTTGAAGAAAACTCAGTCCTGGAAAGGACAGATGTGGTCATTACTGTGGAAAAGGAACAAAAGAAATTAAATGAAAGCATGTTGATATGTAGATATGTCTGGTAGGAGAGAAATAAAAAAAATTACTAAAGCCCCAGAATGGTGTGGCACATTTCTGGTTCAACAGTCTGAGAGTGAAAAAATGTAAACATTCACCTTTACCAACTTCTTGGAAAAAAAATTGTCACCTGACTTTGTTCTTACAGTTTAAACTTTGAACCTGTTTAAAGTATGCCATGTGTAATTTTTTAATACAGCAATAACTGTACTAAACAATTTCCCTTAAGAGCTGAGGGATAATATTTGTTCTTCAGCATTCCTTTCCCAGCTTCCTAATGAAACTCTCATCCTCTTAAACACAGGACTTAAATATGATGTTGAAAGGAATTGTTTAGAAGAACAGGGCTAGGCAAGGTTTATTGAATAATTAGTGTCAGTAGGAATTTAATGAAGGCTAAAGAAAATTCATTGGAAAGAGGAATGAAACCCAAGAAGGCCAATTAAAAAAATCAAGGAATTAAAAAAATATTTTGAAACATGGATACAATAGGAAAATTAGAAGTTATGAGAAGGTTGTGAGATAATGTATATGGAGAAAATAATCCAAACTCAGATCTCATTGGCGCAAGAAACTGAGGATGCAGAGAAGATGAAAGGAGAGATTTGAGACAGGACAAAATATTGTAGCTACAATTTCCCCTTTTACCAATACTGGACTTAATTTCTTTTCCCAAGAGGGTTACACAGTGATTTTATAAGTCTCCACTTTCCTGATTCTAGCATATCAAACAAAAATATCAACGAAATATCAGCAAAAATATCTTGTACTTTATAGCTAGGTAGACACTATTAAAACTTTAGAAAAKGTGTCTGCTCCTGTAACTTGCAAGGTGGAAAGCAAAGTGAAACCATCAAACTGATCGGATCAAAATGAATTTTGAAAACATGGCAGAGAAGATMAGATTAGGGGAGGATGGAATCTGTGTATCTGTAAACATACGCAACATCACAAAGTCAGCTTGATTTTTTATTTTGTTTAATTCTCTTTTGCCCTATCTACCTTCTTCATTAACTTATCTTAACTCAGCAGTAATCCACAGTGACCTCAAAGACTTTCCTTAAGGGTTCAGCAATTATGGGGATTTTTAAAAGTCATCAAATAGGAAAAGGAATTATCAGATTTGAGAATTAGTTTGCAAAAAAAAAACCCAAACAAAAAAAAAATTGTTGGCAAACATTTTATAGAGCACTTTAGAGCATTTTATAGGATTTTCAGTTGAAATTAAACATTCCCAAGAAAGACAGACATCCAAGTTCCTCCCTGCTATAACAGAACAGTATAACAGCTTGACTATTTGAACAAGACCAATGAGTAGAGACTCCCTGACATTTGTTAGCGCAGACTGTTTATTTGACTTCCAAGTTCTTGCCCAAATTCTAAAATTTCATCTTTTATAATTKCATTTCTATTTCAGTTTGCCCAGGATCACTGACAAAATGAGGGAAAATCTCTTCCACACACACAAAAAAAAGAAAGCAGGAACATCCTGGAAATAAAATATCTGAAGATTCACAGGAAAGCTTGTTCGTCTTAACAAAAATAAACAAGGGTGACARAGATATGATACTGTGCTGAATTTTGCTGAAAAGAGGACAGAAGTAATTCCTCTCCTGATTTTTGAAAGATTAAAAATAAATTAAAATAAACCAAAAAAAATGAACACATAGCAAGGAGATTTAAATACCACTAGAGAAAGGCTGTTAGCAGTACAGATAGAGAAGCATTAGAGTAGATTAGCTGGGGAAGAATTGAAATCTCCRTGGCTAGATTTATTTAAGAACAAATTAGACAAACATCTCTTCATAGTGATTTAAGTAGAGCTGATGCTACAGCGCAAAAGGGATGGCCCTTCAAGGTCCCTTCCAGTCTAATTTTATGATTTCAAGATCCTAATTTTTCAGCTTTTGCTGAGATTTGTCTGGCACTCCTTCACTTGTCATAAACAAAAGATTCTTGCTGATCACAGAGTATCTGCCCACAAACTTTTACCATTTCAGGCCTCTTCATCACAGGACCTCACAAACCTATAGATTCTTTCACAGCATTTTGCAAATATTAAGTTAAACCTGAGGATTTTGTATTGTGAGTGACAAATTCAGAAATTCATAAAAATCTGGTGGGTTCATCTGATACGTCACAGAGCTCAGAGTTTGCTCTGCAGCCTCTCAGTTTGCCCTGTAGTTGGTASAGGATTGCTGCTCTGGCAGGGAGCAGTTTGACATTTCATGTAGAGGATGAACAGTAATTTCTGATGTGCTGGCGCACTGGGTTTGCATCACAGCTCACAAACTGGGAGCACTGGGTTATACTGTGAGCATCATCCATGTCATAAAAGGGGAGAGAGTCATGAAAAAGCTGAGAAACAGAGAGAAAAGAGAGGAGGTTGTCAAGTCACCAGYGAAGGAATACTCCTGCATTATGAGGTAGTGAGGGAAAGAAAGAGGAATATTGGAGTGCGCTGTCTTATCTTTTTGTTTGATCCAAATATTTTGATTGGGGAAACAGGGGAATAACATCACCACCATGCTATATCATGAAGGCCATGATRTCAGCTGGCTTTTCTCCTACAGTATTTCAAGTCTCCTGCTTGAGCTGAGCTCAGCTAGCAGGGCTGAAGGCTTGTAGATAGCCTGTTGTTAAAGGAACTATGCTAGAACATGAAGAGAAGAAATTGATTCAAATTCTCCCAGCAAACCAAGACAGTTCTGAATTACTGAATAGGACCCTGTTCTAGACACATCTCAGCATCTACTGCCAGGGGAAGGCTCAAAACCTACCTGTTCTTAGCATAATATTTACTTATGGTTTTAATAACTGCAATTTCTTTAGTCAGGGTTAGAAATGGATCCTTGGATGACGGATAGTGATTAGAACAAACCAAAGGGCAGAACTAAAAACAAAATTAGGAACATTGCAAATAGCAATAAACAAGTATATCTCAGATTTCAGTGAATTCAGGCATGGCTGGAGACCCCACAGCTCATTGAAAAGCTCTTTCTGAAGAATCCCACAACATTTATTGTTTTGAAAAAGTTCTGTTAGTGTGTASCCAGAGCTCAGGATGATGTACCTAAGGCATCCTGGATGTCACACAGACCTGGATACAAAAATTGCTGATGGTACTGTGACCTGTGGCTGTCATCATCACAGAGAATTTTTGTTCCACATARTGAGCTACATGACAAAGTATTTATTCCATGTTACTGTGTTACTGCACACTCAGCAATGCATATGGGCGTTCTCAGCAAAACAGGATCTGCTGTTATCTTATAATCCTTTTCAACATTCATTATTAACTTCAGAGTGCTGACCAGTAAGAGATAGGTGAGGATTTTTTAAATAAATATTGATGCTCAAAACTCTGTCAGTGACAGTCCTTTATCTAAATACAGTTACAAACTGCATTGGGCTGGAGAACMCTTGTGAGAAATCTATATATCAATGGTTATGTAATATGCATATGTAKAGTAAATAATATGTACAGAAATAATTACACAGTAAATTAGCCCAGGGAGAGGAGACTTACTTCTTCTTCTTCCAGTCCACTTAGATCCCAGAAGTAACTCAATCTCATCTGCAAACGCTTCCATTGTTCAAGGAACATGGTAGCTTTAAAAGAAATTAAACAATTTAAAAAATGGAATTCCAAAGCTTTGTGGGAAATGTTTGTGTTATTCATAAGCTTCAACTGATATTCTAATCCCATTATTCTAGAGACTTTAAAATTAAGCACTAAGAAACAGTGTCAGACCCAGTATTAAAGAAAGAGCTCAAGCAAAGCATGGGAAAAATAATTCCTGTCTTTTAAAAATAAGATACAGAAACATGGATTGTCCAGAGCCACTGGTGAGTTCTTATCAAAGAATGGAATTGAGCCCGTATTTGCTGATAACCACTGAAGACATCATCTCTCCTAATTCACCATGAGGCATTCTGAGGTAGGTTTAGCTAGCTACTGAAACAACTGGGATCCCCAGCAATACAGAGGAAAAGATATCTTGAAATATATTACAATGGTGTAGTTGAATGMTTTTGTCCTTCATAGACATGGTGATTTTGTTCTAAAGGACTGGCCCCTGGTTCAACCTCCTGCTTCCCCTTTTTTTACTAATAAGAAGGAACAGATGTTTTACTGTTGTCTCATATTTACAGTCTCCTGGCTGTCCTCTCATTACTGCTGTTTCCTCTATATAGCCCTTTTCCTAGTTACTCAYGATTTATGGACTTACAGATTTATTAGAAAAAGCACTTATAAATCTTGACTTTTGGACATCTATTTTTCAGGTAACAATATCAATTTCAATACTAAACCACATGCCAACTAAAAACACCAAAACTCTACCAATAAAAGCTACGCGAATAAACACCTGGGGACACTGTTTTCTATTTTCCTATGCTTCACTTCACTTTTTCAGTGGGTGAAAAGGGTATTGTAAAACATTGTTAGATCATGGTAGTATTTACATCACTTTGAAYATCTTGTAGATAGCCCCAGAAGATGGACAACAGTGTAGAATTAGATCCAGCTTCCTTTGGCAGCATCTACACTGTCAGACAATATGGTGAAAAGTGAGAACACTGTAAAAACAACCTGGCTCTTACAAGCCATAATCGAAAAGCTAGCTGCAAATATTTTCTTCACAGGTATCATCCCATCATATGAGAAATAAATACCACTTAAAAACAGGACTGGCAGTACACTGAAAGCAAATCCAGACACTAAGCAACTAAGTTGCTGTCCGTGCTCCTCCCTTGCAGAAGAGAGGACATATAAAAGYTATATTTAGCATGGTTTGAAAACTCAAGGGTTTTTAGATATCCTAAATAYAAAAACATTTGGTTATTTTATAGGGTGCTATTACTCATTCCATTCTTTCCTGTTTTACAAAAACTCAGTTCCACATTTAGCTCTATAAGAACGTACTTGGCTTGATGCAGCAGCTGCTCTGAAATCAGCACGTTTGCACCRAGTCACACCAGCAGGAAAACTAAAGTGACAGAGAGCAGGTTTAGATTGGATATCAGGAAGAAATTCTTTCCTGTGAGGGTGGTGAAGCCCTGGCACAGGTTGCCCAGAGCAGCTGTGGCTGCCCCATCGCTGAAGTGTTCSAGGCCAGACTGGACAGGGCTCTGAGTAATCTGGGATAGTGGAAGGTGTCTTTGCCCATTCTAGGGCATTGGAAATGGATGATCTTTAAGGTCTGTTTCAACCCAAACCCTTCTATGACCCTGTAAAACTTCCAATAAATGCATCTGATATTGAAATTCAGCACCAGGACACTGGTGACCTCAAGTCCAATCAGCCAGGCATTACTGTGAACATGGTCACTTGCAGCAGGACTGTTAGAATCAAACCACACCTCATGAGGAATGAGGATTAGCTACCAAAAGCATGATTCCTTCTCAGATAGTAACCACAGGAAGCCCTCTGCTTTCTAAAGAATGGGAAAAGACAAGCAAGATGAAAGAATTCCTGTGCCCAGCAGTCTCACAAAAGGAAGCTGGCCCAGATCACCATGATTTGCTTTTTTAAATATACAACTGGAATAGGTGTGTGAATGAGCTCTGACATTCAACAGATTGAGGTCTAGATACAACCAACACAGCCTCTAATAGCAGGGCAGCAAAATTTGGTGTMATCCAATACTTAATAGGCAAGCTGGGCAGAGTTAGTAAAGGCTCCATTATTTCACTTTGCTGCTCTTTGTGTGTGCCGGCTGCATTTTCTTGAACTGACAAGCTCAGTTATCAAGGCTCCAAGAACAGACTTTTCCAATCTGTGGGAAACATTTTTTGGAGGAGSACTACAGTTCTAAAAGAATTTTGTTATTCTTACATGCCTTTTTCTAAAAGTRGTGCATATGGAACTTTTTGTCCTGTTCTGTTCCGTAACAGATTCTACTAATTTGTCTTAGTGCAAGGATATATTGACATTTTCTTTTGCACATTGCATTGCTGATACTAAAATATAATTGTTCTGGATGAGGTTCAGTGGAAATTGTCATTTGCATGGATGCAAGTTTACAGTAAAGTTTCTCTGTTAGGAAAATGATATTTTATTTATCTTAAGCTTCACAGCAGCAGGTGACACTTTATCTGCCAGTCTACTCTGTAATTGGCAGGAATCAGAAGGAATAAAATAAATTATTGTGAGAGTCTATAATTTCATCTTCTTTTTTCCCTTGCTCAGTCACAGTTCTCATATATTCTCTAACATTCTGCTCTGGGGTTTCCAGGAACTGGTAAATAAATGCTTCTTACTTCCATGATGTGTTCTGTCTGCAAGTTCCTTAAAAACCCTCTGCTGTCCTCACCCAATGCCAAGCCACCAATCAGTCCTTTCTAAAATGAGCTGTAAAATCTTAACAGGGTAGCRAAGAATAGCACACTGGTTGCTGAGGGATGATTATAACACAACAACATATTTGCTCAATTTCACATTAAGGATGATAATTTCATTCTGGGGAACAATGACTAGAGAAATAAAAATCATTTTACAGTAGCAATAACGCATTCAACTTTCACAATAAACAAGCCCTAGAGTAAAGGAGAGCATAACACCAGCAATAATTCATGCAAGCACAGTACACACACTTTTCAGGGCAGAGGTGAGTCCAGAAACAATAAAAGTAATACTACAATGCATTCATTCATGTTTATGAAGTGTTTTGATATCCTCATGGAGACAGGGATATTTACCATTGAATAAAACCAAGCTTGTTTAAATGGAATATTATGAAATATATTATAATTAACATTATAATAGTCCCATTGCTCTTGGAATCCCATAAAGTTTTGATAAAATYATGTAACTGAGTTGTCCCACAAGGAAGTGGGACTGTGCTTAAATGAGACCCTTTCAGCTGTCTGCACCATACAAATCCTCAAATATATTCTGGCCCCAAATGCAGAAGGTGTTAAAAGGACTTGACATGTTGAYAGAAAATGATGAAAAATGAACAAATACATAGCAAAGATTAGAAGTGCCATTAAAGGCACAATTTYRTCCATGGAGAAAACGGCCTCAAGATGTGCCGGGGAGGTTCAGTTTGGACRTCATGAAGAATTTCCTCATATAAAGAGCAGTCRKGCATTGGAAGGGGYGGCCCAGGGAGGTGGTGGAGTCACCATCCCTGGAGATGTTTAATAAAAAAYTGGACATGGCACTYAGTGCTCTGGTTTAGTTGAYAGGTGATCAGTCAAAGATTGGACTTGATGATCTTGGAGATCTTTTCCAGATTTGAGGATTCTATGATTCTAAACATGGCAGTAAAGGAAGCAAGGACCTATTTTTCCTCCCTGAGCTCCCCAGCTCCTCTCCATTTATTCCAGAGCTTGCTGTTGACAGAAAGCTTTGTGATATTGCTTTCCCCAATCTCAACACAGACAGCTCTTCCTGGCCTTCTGAGGATTGCCAGTTTCCTAAAGCCATAGGGACCACATTCAATCAAACAGCAATTTATTATTGTATGAAGAGTCCAAACATCAAACGGCACGGTCGACTTGCAAAGCAATACTCACCCCAGAGAGCCATAAAGATGGAGAAGAAAACCGTGGCAGGGTTGTCAAACAAGTGACTCGCTCGAGCGGTGGCACAGGCAGAGCTGAGGTTCCAGTAATCACAGAACTTGTCACACAGGGGGCACATGGTGAAGGCATTGCGTTGGTCACACATCTCTYTACTGTGACAGACAAGGGCACAGATTCCTCTGAGTATTCCAGCTCAGAAACTATGGATGTGCAGCACATCATAGTTATTAAAAACTATCTGCAATATACGTGGTTTACACTTGGAGAGAACAGGAGCTGTGTGTTTCTCCAAGGCTCATTGCCATGGACTGAAATTTTAAAAAACCTTATAGTCACCCTAGCAATAGGAAAACGGTACCACTCAACCAGACTTAGCCGTGCACTGTTTAGGTAAAGGAAGAGAGTATCACTGAAGACTGAGGTTATCCACACTAAAAAAACCATCATTTGTCATCTCTGCAGTCAATTACCTGATTTTATAAGATCAGATATAAATTGCTGAAGTGAGTGCAAAGGAAATCTGATGCCTGTGTTAAAATACACATTTTTTAATATGGTGGCACAAAAATGGGACAGAAACTATTTTTTTTTACAGATATTAAGATCTTTACTGTAAGATTGTTATTTTAATTCTTTGTCTTATTTGCCATGTATGTATTCAACCTCTAAAAATCTTTTTAAAAACCCATTATCAGTATCACTTGAACAGGCCAAACATTACTTGTCAGCACTCAGTATGCTTTCATTTTTTTTCCATAAGGTTTGGGTATGAAAACCTTTCATACCTGCACAGTCTCACCTAGGTGAAGTGAGCAGTGCAAAGCTCAAATGCCATTGTCAGGATCCTGAGCTAAGGAGACTTGTAATATTGCTTCAGCAATAGCTGGCATATTGTGATTATGACTGCTCCTATATGAAGCATCCTGAAATAGCTTTTTCCATATGACTTCAAATGAAAAAAGGACTATTCAGCCTATAGTATCAATATGTTTGTATTAAATGGTTTGAAAAGCACACAGCTGTTTCCAGCTTTTGTGTTGTTACAGTAATTCTCTATCTCAAAAGGCAGCAGAGGGTGCTGCAGATACATCTTAGCCATAAATCTCACTGAAGTTTAAATGTTAGCACAAGCTCTCACCCCGACAAGCATAGCCCACCAAGATTTATTCAGATCAAGCTAAGAAAACAGACCCTGCCTCAGATGTGGTGCTGTTCATCATTTACCTATCAGTAACCTTGTCCTACTGCAGTGATTTATAAAATGTCAGTTCAGGGACCGTCATGAGTGTGATCAGCATACAAGTAATGCAGTATGCAGTCCCAGCAGAAGTCAGACACACACAGCACAGAAAAATGTTATCTTTTTTTTTCACTGGGAAGCAAAAATTAACATCAKGGTGTCACTTTGGCAGTTTTTGTGTAGTGCATTCCCCTCAGGATACACAAAGTACTTATGTCTAGAAGGGGAATACTGAGGAGACCAAATATAGAATCATAGAATGGGTTGAGTTGGAAGGATCCTTAAAGTCCATCTCAYTCCGATCCCCTGCCATGGGCAGGGACACCTTCCACTGTCCCAGGTTGCTCAGAGCCCACCCAACCTGGCCTTGGACACTGCCAGGGATGGGGCAGCCACAGCTKCTCTGGGCAACCTGTGCCAGGACCTCACCACCATCACAGGGAACAATTTCTTCCCAATATCCAATCCAAACCTGCTCTCTGTCAGTGTGAAGCCATTTCCCTTGTCCTGTCACTCCAGGCCCTTGTCAAGAGTCTCTCTCCATCTTTCCTGTGGGCTCCCTTCAGGCACTGCAAGGCCACAGTGAGGTCACCCCAAAGCCTTCTCTTCTCCAGGTGAACAATCCCAACTCTCTCAGCCTTTCCTCCCAGCAGAGCTGCTCCATCCCTCTGATCCCCTSRGTGTCCCTGYTCTGGACTGGCTCCAGCAGCTCCCTGTCCTTGCTGTGCTGGGCCCAGGGCTGGATGCAGCTCTGCAGGGGGGGCTCAGCAGAGCAGAGGGACAGAGGGGCAGAATCACATCCCTTGATCTGCTGGCATTTGCTAAGTCTTCTAACTTTTGTTCATCTTATTTGTACAGATGGTCTGATTTTGCTGAGAATAAAGTAATCAGAGTCGGGGACAGTGTTTGCATTAATTTCAGTGAGTTTTACATAATGACTTTCTGATTGGGCACTGAGATGTGTGTACCCATAAAAAGGAAATGAATGTCTTTCAAAAAGAACTCAATGCAGTAGACTCATAAAACGTTTCTGTTTCAGGAGGTGAAACACTGAACAATCAAATATATATGTGCTCCTTAAATATCTGTTCAATGCCTCTGTGTTTGCAATGCTCACAGGGTTGGTAATGATGTATCACTGCTCTTCAGACATATTAAAACCAGTTGTTCTCACCAACGATTCATAAGAAAATGCACAGTATTACAATTTTTAAGTGACAAATCATGGATCACAGATGAGCTTACCTAGGAATGTCACTTTCAATGGTTACACATCCATATAGAAATACAATAATCCCAACTACCGAAGACGGAATGAGGAATTCTGTGTATAAACCCAGCCATGCAAAATAAAGTCCGATCTTTTCTCCAAAATACTTCCTGAAAAAGAGAGGAAAAAAAAAAAGCATGTGTCAAGGGTATCATTTTCAAATGTGTTTCACAGCTACYAAACAGTCCCAGAAGGTTAAAATACAAATTGTGAAAGACATGAATGAAAACGCTGAGTACCTTGAAGACAACAGGACCTAATGAAGGGTGTGATTTAGGCAGTTTTGGTTTCTCTGTTCTGAGAAATCAGAGAAAGTTCTGAATCATTGTCCTGASCTGATATTAAGTAGGTATCATTGCAATACATAATATATGCTCAGGGAAGACGGTGTCTTTGTATCTCTTACAAGAAGACGTGAAATAGGAGAAAATATTAGAAAATACTTGACTCCTCAGAAGAGAATGTTAATTTTTGCCTCTGTAGAACTCCTGCATTGAGGTAGTGAGAGTCATAGAAATTACATCTATGTGAACATGCTAACATCCTCTAGCATCTTAAAAGATGACTAATCTGGAATTGCTGATAAAGGAGGAAAGTTTACTTGCACACCTAACATTGGCTTTTCAGAAAAAAATATTTTTGTCAGGTTAACAGCCCCTGGACAGCTGGCTTGAAAAAAGTTTCTGGTCTGAGGAACAGCCCACTGGGGAAGTTGATAAATAAGTGATAGCTCTCAGCCCAGCACCTTCATGAATCACACTACAAGAAGTAAACTAAGCATGGATGAACCTCGTTGATCATTCGAAAATACAGTTAGGAATGATTATAAATATTGCAAAACACCAAGAGCTTCATAGAACTCAAGAATTCACCTAACTTTAGATAAAACCCAGCACAGTTAAAAACATTTCACAAGCCAGAGAAGAAGATGGAGCAGTGCTGGGGAGAAAAGAGCTACACAGAGAGCACTCAGGGCATGACATGGAATGCGAGTCAAYGAGACACATTTACACTGTGATGGCAGCAAGAATTAAAAGAAATTCATGGTATSATCTCTAACAAAAGAAAAACAAGACTTGCTCCTCCTAAAGGTTTAGCATGATTCCACTTTAAGTTTTATTCTGCTCTCACTCAGCTTAGGAAAGTTTTATCCAAGTTTAGCACCCCAGATTCAAATCATTCCTATTGAAAATGATTAAATGAGATTTTTGGAGGCCCAAACCGAAATTTGCTATTCTAGAAGCTGGATCTAAGGGCCAGGCTGCTCCTACCACAGGAAAGACAGGGCAGGAGTGCAACCATGGCAGAGAGCCATTGGACAACAAGACAAGCCTCCAGTCATTTCCAGCTCAGATGAAATGGATAAGGGAAGCAACAGTGAGGGATTTTTATTACTGCAGATCCTGCTGTTGTTCTCACACCATCACAGCTGCAGCTAACTCCACTCTTCCAGGATCTCCCACAGAAAACTGGCAGTGCAATCCTGCCTATTTCAGTGTTGCCTTCCATGAGTGCCTCTATTTTCTTGTGCCTAACCAAATTTGCTAATCCTTTTGAAAGGATGCATGCAATCTTAAAAGGGAAAACAAAACAAAAGCATTCTAAGGTGATACATAGACAACACTATCTTCAGTATAAGGGGATGTCATCCAGAGGCTGGGACATTTCTGGAATCTTCTAGGAAAGGAGTACAGCCCCCCACACCTGATGTCGCAGTACCCTAAACTTTGAAGTATCAAACAGCACAAGTGAAATCATCACAGCATGGCTTGAATGGCAATAACTTAAGATTTAAAGCACCTTGGGACAAAGGATTTGCAGAGAGTAGGAGAGAAGGAAATATGGCATTATGATATAGCATATTTTATGAAATGATAGATATAAATATTTGTGTTGCAAATATAATCCATATACTGGGGGACTGCCCTCTAACCCGGCACATGCCAGGTAATTTTGGAGGTAATCACTAGGAAGAAGCTTTCCTTTGTTTTCATATTTGAAAATAAATATGTATTTTTAATATACTTGTTTGGTAATATACTATGTTGTTAATACACTTTGTTTAATGCACATGTTTTAATACACTTTTTTAATATGAGGTGAGGGAGGAAATACTGGATTGAAATAGAGAACTAACCAAAAGGCCTACAGCTTTTCTTCAAGCCTCCTGTGTGAGTCTGCAAACAGCAGCAATGGCCTTGGAACAGCACAGGATAGAGGGATATTCCATCTGCTGTTGAGTTTCCTTCTGACTGGGGAGTGATAACCTTACATTTGACCCCAAAGCAGGAAAAGGAGGACCARAGGGAGATTATTTTGATGCTGTCTTCTTGGTGCTTCCTTGCTTGTAGAGTTGGGCAACATGGACAATGAACGAAGTGTTACAAATAGTCAGAGAAGACATCCAAACCAGTCCACAATCTAAACTCATTTCAAAACTGTCTGGTTTTTGACAAAGAGCTAGAAATTAGCACAGAAAGTGTTCAAATCCCAGCAGCACTAAAGAGTAGCTGACCAGTGTCAGGAAAGTTGAAATGTATGGCTCATGAGGCTTCCCCTTGAATTTTTAAGCCTTTCAGTGATGAATGTGATCTCTAACCCATAAAGGAAARGGCTGCTATTTGCATCCATGCCAAAAGAAAGTGAGAAGAGCTCAACAATGTCCTGGCAGTATGGAAAACATGCAGTTGCCAAGAAGAAAACTGCACCATGTTCCATGGCTTAACTGTTTTGAAAAAGAAAAAAAATTAAGATGTTGTGCCCAAGTTCAGACCACCAATGTGCCAGAAAGTGAAATAATCTAAGGTGAAGCAATGACAGCACTTGGAAATATAATGATAAATTTAAATAGGAGTTTATCAAACCAGAAGAACAYAGGACATAGACATATCCTTTCCTTTCTTTGACACATCCCCAAAACTCTAGGTCCTCTGAGTAGGAGTCAAAGCTCTGCAAACACCTGTGATCTCCTGTACTGCAGCTGCTGCTGATTTCAGTAGTGAATGAACAGAAGGGCAAAAAAAAAAAAGTGTTCTTCAAGGGTAGAGGAAGATGTAAGTCAAGAAAAAGTATTTTTACAAGTTTTTATATATTTACACCAAGAACTTGGCATATTCTCTCATTTACATTGGGATAAAACCAGTCTTACTTTATTATCCTGCAGGAATTACCCATGATTTATGTTGGCATGGCAAAAGAGCCAGTACCTCAGTAGCTAATTCACATCTGCCTCACAGATATATCCAGACAAAGCTAAGGATTAATCCTTTCCAAAAAGTGCTCATGGATACTGCAGAGTGTCACGAGAAAAGCATGCCCCTGGCATTTCATAAGCTTTATTTCTTTATTGTTATTAGGGAAATGTCCCTTTACATGCACATATTCCACAAAGACAGGGGTTATTCCCAAACCAAAGGGCAAAGAGCTTTGATAATGAATGCRTACTGCTCCTGTCAGGAGCAGCACCCACGGTTTTTGTTCTGTGTGTTGATACAGCATGAGATGAAATTTTGTGCCTTTAATTTTGTAAGACTCTCTAAAGGCTGTTTAAATGTCTACCTACTAAGTACTGAGTTCTCTTGAACAAGAATCATGTATTTAAGGAAAGATTTGATCAAATCACCCATAACTCCTTCAAAAAGCTGAACAAGAGCTGTTCTTTCTGCAAATTACCAGAATCAGCATTAAAAAACTACAACAGCAGCMACAACCACCTGTAGAAAATGCATTCCCATTCTCTCCATAGTTAGAATAAGAAGTGTTGAGAAGGACACAGCAAAAACATTKACTTGATTCCCTCTGCTTCACCAACATAACAAATCAGACATCTGCAGTGCACTTTGGTCTGTCTGGTTGCAAAACGAACATCAAAAAGAATAACTGATTATTAAACCCTCTGCTTGCACATTGGTCACAGTGCTCCCATGCCAAGTTTTGCAATTTATAAATAGACAAAGGTTTCAAAGGGGGAGCGGCAGGGGGAAGAGAGAAGGAAAAAACCCTTTGGTTTTGACTCTTGAAAACAAGTGTGGGATACCTGGAATGTGAATGAAGCGTGTGGTGCGTGACACACGCTGGAAAGAACACTGGAGACATTCAGGAACAAAGCTAAAAAAGCAAGGAAAAGATGCTGTGTACACTGAGTCACCTAACTGAGAAATCTGTTCAGAACTCCTCTGTTTTTTAAATTCCATACCCCACTCTAGGCCAGCTGTCACTTCATGCTTCCAATTCATTCCACCACCCTTTTGGTGGAGGGTTCGTCTATACACAATAGTTTCTGTGCAAAACTAAACTGATTTACAGCTCCCTCTTGGGTAGGTTTCCCCTGTGCAAGTGGTCAAACAAGTCATATGTGTTACTAATGCCTTCAAAAWAAACTTTTTTGCACAGTTTTTGAGTGAAATTCTGGTGTTTCCACKGCAGGGGAGAAGGTCAAGCAGTTTAGCTTCATGTCAGAGCACCTCTACTACCAAAGCCAGTTTAAACTTTCTTTCCCCATCCCAGTGCACATTCCCTCTCTAACTCATAGCAAGACAGTTCCCAGGAACACAATTTATYCTTTCAGGGCTTTTGTAACCAGAGGAAAAATGTACTATTAAACTGAAGGTAGAACAGTGACTACTGTTAGAAAGAGAGAAGCCATTTCTAGCACATAGTTAAGTTCAGAAAACATTTTTTTCCTTGATTCTAAGATAATAGTTCCCACTACTGGAAGTTTCCATCTCAAAACTGCAGACTTCTTTCAGAACAACAGCTGGAGCAAAGGAAAGCCTAAGTCACTAAAAGATGATCARGAATACTGCTGTACACCCCAAGATTTCACTCCAGGTAGAGCTGCCTATGTCCAAACTTTTCCGGATTTGCCATTCTTTCTTCGCTTGAAAATTTTCTCAAGGAGGGATTCAAGGATTTATTACAACCATCTGGGACACCTGGGTGGAATTACTGCTCAGCAGCAGCACTGAGGCTGCTGTGCATCCAGAGATCATGGAGATTTCTACCATGGTTGTGCCTGACAGCACATATTCCATCCAGGCAGTCTCAAGAAGGAACATATCAGTGCTAAATCCAGATACACAGAGAGTGCACCAAATAGAGCAATATGGAA